AAAAAAGTGTACGCTCTCCTGTGTGTGTGTGTGTGTGTGTGTGTGCGTGCGCGCACGGGCGGGGGGCAACCCCTACCCACCCAATCAATCGATCAATCAAAAAATTAAAAAAAAAATGTTGAAAAAAAAGCGTGAAAGCGCGCTTCCGTGAGTGCGTGTGGGCTCGGGTGGAAGGGCCGACCCCGCCCCAGCCAATTAATCAATCAATCAATCAATCCATCAATAAATAAATATATATGAAAAACTTTTTAAAAAAGGACATAATCAAGGGGGGTTTCGAAAATGTTTCCCAATCACTCGATAAATAAATAGATATGAAAAACTTCAAAAAAAAGGACATAATCAAAGGGGGGTTCCAAAATGTCCCCCCCCACCACCTTATCTTCTACGATTTTTTTTGTTTTTTTACGTAACAGATCAAAACGAAATTTTAGGGGTTGGAACGCTAGGATGTGGGCTATCTACCAAGAAAAAAAACGATGGCCCTGGAACGGGGTCTGGCGGGGCCCGAACCCCTTCAGATATGGGCCCCGAACGCCTCCCTGAACGACCGAATGTTTGGGGGTCACCCCGGGGGCCTCCGAACGTACGGTCAGGTAACCCTGACATGTACACTATTTCCCGGCTGGCACATCTCTCCCTGCCTAGCCAATCAATTCCTTTCTTTATTATTACAAGTCACAGGCGCACCGCGGCGATGCCGCGGCAGGCGGGGCACTGGCATGTGACACACACACACACACACACACACACACACACACACACAGACACAGAGAGAGAGAGAGAGAGAGTTTTCCAGCCATGCATGCAGAGAGATAGAGAGAGGCTACTTCGATCGATAGGATGAGCAAAATCGGAATGAATCTTCCGCTATAACATGGAAATCTACACTGCAACTTTTTTCTTTTGGTGTTAAGAGAGAGAGAGAGAGAGAGAGAGAGAGAGAGAGAGAGAGAGAGAGAGAGAGAGTTTTCCAGCCATGCATGCAGAGAAATAGAGAAGGGCTACTTCGATCTATATGATGAGCAAAATCGGAATGGATCTTCCGCTAGAACATGGAAATATACAGTGCGACTTTTTTTTTTTTTGGTGTGTTGAGAGAGAGAGAGAGAGAGAGAGCAGGTAAGTATCCAACCTCACAGCTGGCCTCACGCGACTTCCATCGATAGGATGAGCAAAATCGAATGGATCTTCTGCTAGGCCTGCGGTCGGACATCGCAGTAACTCCCCCTACAGGGTCCAATTGGGTTCGATATGGATACTATATTCAATAATCGTAATAAGGGACGCTGGGCCCGCTTCCCAGCAGGTGCTGCTCCCCACCAATAGATGGAGCCACCCCGAAATAGCTTGAGGCGACTGCTCCTACCAGCATCTCAAGCTGTCCCATGGGGCTGATTTACCCGGAAAAAANCCTGGTTGATCTGCCCACACCTGCCGCTTAACACTTTCGGCAATCGACGGCAAAATGCGAAAAGCGGCTGGCCAGACAAAGTACCATAAAAGCAGCCTGGCCCCTCCCCGACTCGAACCCGCACCTGTCGTTACATTTTTTGGCAGCGTTTCCCCACAAAACGCAACAGGAGACAGCCTCGACCTCGTGACCGCCAGGCTAAAAAAAAAAAAAAAAAAACAAAAAAAAAAACACTTCCTGCCGCCAATGAATTTTGCGGGACACCTCGTGTACCGTCCAAACGATGTGCGGGCCTCATTTTTGCTGGGCCCGGAGGGACCGTCTTACGATGGCCGCTGTTTCCTTCAAGAAGTTTAAAGTATTAGTAGAAGATTGTAAGACCAAGGCAGCCCCGTCATCTCGCCTTGTTTCTCTTCTTCGGCCTAGTATACAGTTGTGTGCACTCATCCACAATACGCATCATCCAAATCACACACTAATCGATACAGGGAAGTGGGTGGCAACTTCATGGTCAGCTTGACTCAGCTAGCCCAGACACTTTTTTTTTTTCGAAGCGGCCAGCACCAATTTCATTATATTTCACATTTGAGCCCTGAGGACCCTACATTACACCCCGGTGCCCAGACGCTTGTGACTTTCACCATTTGTTTCTCCGTTGTCCTTTTGCTCATTCTCGGCACACTCAAAAGGACGAAAGCTATCAACAAGATACGGAAGATGGAAGGGTGCATATATCAGGTTTGACCTCGTAATCGAGCGTCATCTGCTATGGGCGAAGGCAAGTAGGTCACCAGAAGAAAAACAAAGAAGATTTCCACAAACACTTTTGCATTGTTGGTTTTATGGAGAAAGGTGCGGACTGCAATTCTCAGCGAACATAAGGAGATCTGATAAATGTGGTATTAGTTCATGGAGGCGGGAGAAAGCTATGAAATTGCCGATCGCCTGGGTGAAGGTGAAGCGGATGGAGCAATGGAACCAAAAGGAATGATGGCGGGACTCGAGAGGCGAAGTTGGGGAGCAAAGGACAAACCCCCTTGATCATATATTTAGGGAAATCCTTTGTAACTACCACGATCACAGAGTCAATAGACCAGTGATGTTGCAGATAACTTCAAGAAAGTTGCTTTGTTCCTAGACCAGTCAGGGTGAGGGGTAGCACCCCCAGGGAGGTAGGCGAGGATCATCTCATCATGGGGTAGGTTTGGAACCTGACCGGTGGCAAGCTCCACATAGACAGCAAAGTTATGGGGAGGATGATCAGCATTGGCGCAGGAAGGCTTTTGTATGCAGATGGTGGAATTCAAGTTTGGAGCCGCCTCACTTGCATCTGCTGTCACTTCACGTGCCGATAGGTACTTCGTCTTCTGGCAGTTCCACACAGCGGCGGAGAAGGGTGAGTGCCCCCTCCTTCCTTCCGGTTACAGTGGGAGTGGCTGACCATTTGAGGGTTCGCCATGGGAAATTTTCCCCGACGATCTTTCTTGGTAAGGTATTTTTTTTTTAAATAAAAAAATGTCTTCAACTTGTTGCCAATGGGATCGAAGCTCGTGGACGACCGAGAAATGGGCTCTTCGTTAAGGACAGGGTTCCTTTTGCGGTCAAGTGTCGGGCCCTTGTGCTCTTTACGAGGACGGAAAAGGGGGGACGACATTTCTAGGTGAAATGGATTGCCTTTATAGATTCCATCATCTGCTCCATCGTGATCGCAACTACTCGATGGTCCTCGATGTAGATCAAAGCTGACCCTGGCCGTGAGGTGTCAACGATCCGTTAAACATACAAGATTAACTCATCCTCCACCGATTAGTGAAAATGGCTGAGAAGGATGCTCACCAGACAACCTTGAACCTTCAAGACCAGGTATGGTACTTATGAGATTTGCTTCATCCTAAAGAAAGTTCATTAACAACTTCCCCATCATTGCTACTCCCCTTCCTAACCTATTGTCTAAGGATGTCCCATATAGACGGACTTCCCCATCGTTCCCACTGGCTTTGACGCAGTTGAAGAAAGCCTTCACCCAATCACCTACGCTGAAACAAGCCTTTACCCAAACACCTACGCTTTTTTTTTTTTTTTTTTTTTTTTTTTTTAATARAAAAAAMACCCCCCGCCAGTGCTAGTGCTGCTGATTCAACAGTCACCACTAACACCTCGAGGGAGGCTCCATCTATTGGTGGGCAGCATCACCAACACGCTGAAACTGCCTAACACTACCTTGCCATTCGGTTCGGTGTTGATCATAATTCAAAGTCAACATGGTGTTAGGGACGGTTCTTGCAATATGGGGATAAGGGAAGACTCCCTTCAAAATCTATTGTCATCATTCCACTTTGCAATGGATGAAAATCCAAGGGGAGTTCAATGATACGGGGAGTTTTAACGATAAGTTTGAAGGGTACACATTCACTTGAAAGATGTGGTGGTTGACTTTGAACTGAAGCACAAAAAGGGATGTTACAACAGAGTTGCAAATGCACTTTCTTGCAGTCCGGTCCTAACACCTTTACCGCCATTGTGCACGACTCCTTTGGGGATCAACACCCGGGGTGGTGCTAGGGGTGCTGGCAAGGGCAGACACCGCTAGCACTCCCAGGGAGTGCTCCATCTATTCCTTTGGGGATCTCACTGCGGAGACCATTGCAAATGCATTATCATACCTTAAGACCATGTCATCAGACCATAGGCGCCGCCAGGCGGCGCACACCCTAACTTTGAGTCAGGTTATTATACCCTAATCTTCAAACCTGCTGCAGTGTAACAACAAGGGAGAGGACTGGTTTTACATCCTCGATAACTGCAAAATCTCGAGTCGCCATGATGGCGAGTGCCATGTTAGGTTTGCAGATATTTTGGGTCTTTTTTTGGAGACGGGCTCTGATCGAACAATTCTATTGAGACATGGAATGAAATTCTCAAATACTTAGACACTTGTAATATGCTCTAGATGAAAAAGGTATGCAGACGACCCCTCCTATAGGGCGGTCTCAAACTGCTGCCTATCTCCGACTTCCTGACGAGTCGGTGCCTATTGAATTCATTCACCTCCGCACCATCGTGGGATGAGACAGGTTATGTATTTCGCTCTCTCCAAATCTGTGATTTGTCATGGGGACATGTTTGTGCTTGCTGAATTGCTTCAATCCGTCAGATAACAGATCCCTGTTACGAAGACTGGTGGGACTGGTGGTTTAGCACTTGTAGACTTGTAGTCTCATAATATACACCCTACCTATCATGTCAGAGTTCTGTTATGATCCAGAACTGAGATCAGGTCATACATATAATTCACTATTATTCAGAGTAAACATACAGTATACAGGAGACTTGGGAGTTTCCTAAATTTCCGTGAAAGTTGGGTGAAACTGAGATTTTGGAGAAAGCAGAGACATGCATCCTCTTGTTAGGGCAATGATTGCAAGCATTGGAGAGATTGTTCAGGCTACACTCAAAGCCGTTCAATCCGCAGCAGCCACGCCGATTGTTAACACTGCTCACCAACACTGCAGGTCCCCAAAGTAAGTTGATCAATATGCACACACCAACATCGCAGAAATTGGCGTTCAGTGTTTCGCAAAAACTTGCCGTAAAAGGATGCGTTGAATTGCGTTCAGTGTTTCGCAAAAACTTGGGGGTCCAACTGATCAGTTCTCAGATATTGTAGACACTGTTTCGCCATAAAGGCCTTTTGACACCCAGCTGCAGACTATTGAATCTCAAGTTGGCTGTGAGAGTCAGTGACAACACTGCTCAGCCAAGCAGATAATTAAAAAAGGGGGAGCAAGGACACACGAGGAAACAGGGAGAACTGCTCAAAAATGGAAGGTTGTGGGAGACCAATGGTCATGCATGTGTCCTTCTGTAGACATGAGAAGAGAGTAGAAGATCATCATAATGCTCAGAAAACAACAATATTTCAGAAAATCACAAAACGCCATCACACCAGCAGCCTCTCTAAAACAAGGAACGGTCGTCCTGCATACCCATCCTGTGACTGTATTATCCAATAAGCCAATATGCCATCTATATACAACTACCATGAGCAGTGCAATGTCCCTTTACCCTTCTCTCTCTCTCTCTCTCTCTCTCTCTCTCTCTCTCTCTCTCTCTCTCTCTCTCACACACACACACACACACACACACACACACACACTCTCTCTCTCTCGTCCACGCCTTGTTGACTCCTCCCTCCGTCCCTCCCTTCCCCCGCTGTTCCCCAAACCACACTCAGTTTGCATCTACATCCATCTGTATCATGCATGCGCTTAGCTGCTAGCCTGTGCAAGCCAACATATCACTAAGTCAGCCAGGAATTTATTGCCCAGGTTGTCGAACGGGAAGATTTGACCATATCATACCATGGACACCCCAGCTGTATGGAGGGAGATACATTGTTCATGCCTTCATCTTGAGAATGCAGGACAACCACGAAAGACAAGGTCCCCTCCGTCACCATACTTCCTCCCGGGATGGATAGCTTCTTCTTTGTTGGCGGAAGAAAAACAAACACCTTCCGGGCTGGAGCACACTGGATGAGCATCATGCCACAAGCGTTGGAGTTGCATCGACATCCATCGCAGGCGGTTCCGCAAACAGTTCATCTGCACAAGTGCTGCTGACGGGGACCGTCTTTGGCACAAGGTCAATGAATTCATTCGACTTCCGTGCCAACTCGGCAATGCTCACACGCCCGACGCTCTTGACATATTCTGCAACCGCCTTCATCTCTTCTGGGGAAATGTACACGAACTTGCCCCGTTCATCCATAACACCCGTGATCCGACCTGCAGCATGCACACGCAACCATCAGGACATGACCGCCCCCACCCCCCCCCCCCCCCCCCCCCCCCCCCCCCCCCTCCCACTCCCACCAATGCCTTCTGTTGCTTGCACACAACATCGACATTGACCTTTTCATCTGACTGAAAGGTCACTATAACCCCGACCATTGACATCCATACAACTATCACCTCTTTAAAGCACCAGTACCTCCGAGGCTGTTTTTGCCGAGCCTGAATTTCACTGCACTCCGAGTTTTGCCGGGCCGGAGTCCCACTCCCAGTCCCACTTCTCGTACTCTCCCAGAAAGAACAAAAAAAAAAGTCGTGGCCATGAAACTCACAAAATAAGGGGGGGGGAAGTTGAAACAAAGCTTTGGCCGTGAAACGCAGTTGTATTCATTCTTGGAACAAAGCTTTGTGTGAGTGTGCCCTCAGTGAGGGCGTCTCAGCCCGTGGCCAGGTTGTCAGATTCCAGAAAGACAAAGAAGAACCAAAAAAAAAGGAAACACGGATTCGGCCGTGAAATTGGCCGGATACACTCCTCTAAGTGCCAGTGTGATCAGGGTTACAACCCTCTGAGTAAACACAGCTCGAGCAGATCAGGGATTCCACCCTGCCTCGTTGGCAAGGGACTCCTAACAATGAGAAATGAACGGAAAAAAAGAAAACAACAACATTAAGAATCTCACCGTTTTCGCTGTAAGATTCATTCTGTGGAGGACTACTGTGGGCACGGCCTCCCAGACTATCCTGCCTGACATCATTGCAGTAGAGAAAATCTTTCTTTTTTTTTTTTCACGAGCGGGGAATATAAAACTAAACCTGGGTCAGGGCCAGACGGACCGGGGTGGTCCACCCGGCAAAACCGGGCGGGCTGAAAAGTGTTCCAGGATTCATTTTTTTATTTTTTTTCGAACACGGCATTGGACTGCGCTTGCCAAGAGCAGCCCAAAACCACAGAGAAACTTGTGGAAGGCATGTGGGTGCGGGCGGGGGGAGGAGGAGGAGGAAGAAGAAGACGAAGAAGAAGAAGACGAAGAAGAAGAAGAAGAAGAAGAAGAAGAAGACGAAGACGAAGACGAAGAAGAAGAAGAAGAAGAAGAAGAAGAAGACGAAGACGAAGACGACGAAGAAGAAGAAGAAGACGAAGAAGAAGACGAAGAAGAAGACGAAGACGACGACGAAGACGAAGACGAAGACGACGATGAAGACAACGACAAAGACAAAGACAAAGACAGACAAAGACAAAGACGACGACGACGACGACGACGACGAGGACGACGACAATGAAGACGACGACGACGAAGAAGAAGAAGAAGAAGAAGAAGAAGAAGAAGAAGAAGAAGAAGAGGAAGAAGAAGAATCTCACAAAAAAAAAGAAGAGAGGAGGAAGAAGAAGAAGAAGAAAGAGGGACATGGAAGAAGACAGATGAAGCAGGGAGGAATGAGAAGAAGAAGATTAGCGAGGAGGAAGAAGATGATGAAGAAGAAAGGGGGAGGAAGAACAAGAAGAAGAAAGGAGGAGGAAGAAGAAGTAGAAGAAGAACTAAGGAGGAGGAAGAAGAGGAAGAAGAAGAAGAAGAGGAAGAAAGGAGGAGGAAGAAGAAGGAGAAGAAGAAGGTCTCATGGGGTTAACCTGACGGTGAATGTGACAGGAGGGGGATGCTCGGCGGCGAAGACAACGGCCCGACGAGAGGGAGCTGCTCGATGGAAGCCGATGGCGATGGGGCTGCACCACATGACGGCGAACGCGACGGGAGGAGGACTGCTCGACGGACGACAGAGACCCTTCCCGGCTTGGCAAATGGCGGGCTGCACGAAAGGCAGCCTCTTCCTGACGTTCCAATTCGAACAACGGTGGAGGCTGCCTTTTGTGCAGCCCGCCAGGGCGGAGAATGCCCTTTCTGGCGACCGATCCCCCAGTCGCCAGAAAAGGCATTCTCCCCCCCCCAAGAAAATGAAAATAAAAAAAATAGCCTTCAAAATATTTTGCGGGGTGTGTGGGGAGGCCGTCTGCACCTGCCCAGGCCCTCCCGACCCCCCGCGCCAGATTGTGCTGGGCTCGCCCGGCGGTCGACCGGCGGACCCAACCGGCCGGGCCGCCTGGTAGCCCCGCCGGGCGACGGCCAGTCGACCGGGCAGCCCGGCGACTGACACAGAACTATACCATATTCCTCTTGCCGAGCCTCTGGGACCTCCAAACTTTTCAGGGAAAATGGGAAAACTGCCAATTTTCCCTATTTTTTTCCTACCACTGGCTGGTACTAGTGATTTAAGAATGGGATGGTCCATTCTAATGACATCAATAAAAAAAAACTTATGGCTCATCAGGAGATTCAATAGCAGACTCTTTGAATGAAGGTATTCTTGGATAAATACTCAGTGTATTTATTCTATTATTTATCCTCTGTTCTAGTTCAACAAAATTGATTCCATTCTCAATTTACATAATATAGAATTCATGTAATAAAATCAAATCAATTTATCAATAGTGTGATCAATTTCCTATATTTATACCTCCTATATTTATACCTATATTCTTTTTAGTATACATCTATTGTATATAATTTATAAATAATTTAGTAAAAATAGATATATGTATAAATGGTACATATTGTTCGTACAAAATGAATTATCACACTATTGATAGAAAACATCCTTTCACTACTTCACTTGCAAATAAAATAATTTTGGATCAAAATTTCACCATCAAGTTGGATAATACTCATCTCCTACTCAAAAAAAGATGACACATCAACTGATTACCACAAATCTCTCCACACGTTGCCTTTGCAGTAGAATAGGCAAACACCATCCCCCAGTCTTGTATCGATCCAAGGTCAAAGAAGTTTCACGCATTCTCTCGCGACAAGATGACGACCAAGAAAACCGGCCACCCATACACTCGATCAAGCAGAGACACAGAATGTGCCAGTGTAAACATCCTGGACAAGCGGTTGCAGCCAGACTATGTCACATCACACATTACCAAAGTTCAACCATTGAGCGTGTCCACGGGGCTGAGTGGTACCTCGATGGTACTACACACATGTAACTGCGAATAAACAGAAAATATGAACCCTGATGGAATGCATGCAATAATGTAAGGTACTAAGGTGTGACACTTTTATCAGGGAGAGCTTGAAACAAGAATCAGGGCCAAGGACAAGAAAAAAATTCAGACAACCAATAGGCCTAGCTCAGTTCGTACACCCATGAGCTGTACAAATACAGACCCAAGTTCGAATCAGATTCAGAGTCAGATGAACAAAAAGAAGACGGGAAAAAAAGAGGAAAAAAAAAAAAAAAAACACTCAGGCAGAAAAAAGATAAGCCAATCTCCCTGACATCCACTTACCCATTTGCTCAAGAGCAATAACTCTGTTCACAACATCCTGCAAGGCACAGGAGCACACAACAGTCACAATTTGATGCCGGTCAGCTGATGGATAAGGAACCAGACTGCTGATCCCCAGAAGGGGCCATGGAGCCAGGCCCATAATAAGGTCCTGTTTCTACGAAGAAAGGCAAACCAAGCTACCCGGCCTGCATCCGTAAATCCAGGTTTCCCGAAAACAATATAATTCTACGAAGAAAGGCAAACCAAGCTACCCGGCCTGCATCCGTAAATCCAGGTTTCACAAAAACAATATAAGGCACAAAAGGTTCAGAGTTACATCTATCCACTCAAGGATTGCTATAATATAATGGAATGCACACAGCATGGCCAACCCAAATCCCTCTGCTAGTTTCCACCTACAAAAGTAACCACATCTGCGAGCATGTGATGTTTCAACATAAAATCAATCAAGCCCTTGTAAAAAATCAGCAAAACAAGGTGATCAAATCTTACAACAATAAGGATGATCGGTTCCCCACACCATTTCTGAATCTTCTTTCTTAAGTTTTTCTGGAAAAAAAAACTTTACAAAAGGCAAGTCGATTCCGAGTCTCGACCATATGGGGAATGCGGTCAATTTAGAACTTTGCACAACTCTTTCACAACGTCTGGCAAACAAAAGAACTTCTGAAAAAAAAGTTCAGAAGTCAAAAAGTCTTTGGGAAAAAAAAAAAAAAAACACTCGAAGGCTCAGCTAGCAGAACAAACCTGAGTTCTGAGTTCAAACTCAGCTGCAAGATCCTCCAAAACCACCAGCTTGTGTTTCTGCCAGACCACAAATTTAGTCATTGTGTCAGTGTCTCTCTCTCTCTCTCTCTCTCTCTCTCTCTCTCTCTCTCTCTCTCTCTCTCTCTCTCACACACACACACACACACACACACACACACACACACACACACACACACACACACACGCACACGCACACACACGTGCTCCCCCCTCCCGATCACATATGCACACACACAAAAATAAAATGGAGCAAAAGACATCCACATACCACCAGCTTTCTTTTTTTCTTTTTTTTTTCTCCGTATCGGTTCTGCGATGCATCTCCAAATGCAGTCATGCAGCATTGGCATGAACTTGGCAGACAGCAGAGGACCTCTGTCTGAATTGATCCACCCATCAATAATAACAAATGTGAAAAACGAAACAGATACGAAGGACAGGACGGCAAGATGAAATACAAGGCAGGCTCTTTTTCATTTCGTCCCACCCCTTGCATTCATTTAACTTTTTATCTGCCACACAATGCCAAACAGAAAGTTGCACTTTCCCAGCAATACAATTTTGTGACATCCATGAGAACGGGCCACACCAATTGTACAGACAGGTGTAGGCTCTGCAGAGTGAGACACCCACTTCGCAGTTGTAATTCACAGAAATAATGGCGTACCGTCTCACCCAAATAGAACGCCCGGTCATTATTGCTGCATCTGGACTGAAAAATGCCCCAAATACTGCTATAATGCCCGGGGGTTATAGGCGCGTGAAGAGGGTAGTTCAGTTGGCACACGCGCGAAGAAATTGAATTGGGGAAGAGGGGAGGGGGGAGGAAAGGGGGGGGGGGGAATCAGGGCCGCAAGCACCCCAAAAAAATTGTGTGTGATTTTGAATGGCCAGTTGTATCCTCGAACGCATACATCTGATGAGTTACGCTCACGATGAGGGTCGCAGGTGCTCACAGAAACAGAGCTTCCAGTGAACTTCAATAATGCCCACTTGCCTCCTCGAATGTATACATCTGACGATTTAGGTCAGATGCACTCATGAAGAGGGAAGAAGCGGCTCACGAAAATTGTGCTTGCCGTGAACTTCGACAACAGCTACTTCTGTTCTCGAATGTGTACAACTCGCGATCAAGGTCGCATACACGCATGGTGAGGGTAGCAGCTGCTCACGAAAACATGTGCTTGCCGTGAGCTCCTATAAAGACTTACTTCAGTTGTCAAATGTATAGATCTGGTGATCAAGGTCGGATACATGCATGATGATGGTCGCAGCTGCTCAACTGTACTTCCCGTGAATTCCGATAAAGGCTCCTTCTGTTCTCAAAATGCATACATCTGACGATCAGGATCAGATATACTCATGATTATGGTTGCAGCTGCTCAACTGTGCTTCTCTTGAATTCCGATCAAGCTGCTTCTGTTCTCAAATGTATATCTGACGTTCAAGGCAAGATACGCTCATGACGATGGTTGCAGCTGCTCATGAAAACTCTCTCTCTCTCTCTCTCTCTCTCTCTCTCTCTCTCTCTCTCTCTCTCTCTCTCTCTCTCTCTCTCTCTCTCGCTCACTCACTCTGTGTGTGTGTGTGTGTGTTATGCTGAGCCTGCACACAGGCCCCATTTTGGGGCCCTGACGGTTGTTGGGAGGCTCGCGTCCTGGAGGCCCACGGCCGGCCTATGGGCCGCAGGTTTTGATTTGAGACAGCATTCATTTCTTTCTTTCTTTATTTATTTATTTGCTGTCCAATTTTTGTCTGTTCAGGCATCGTTTTGGACTTGCAGTACATCCAAACAGACCTTGTTTCTGTTTGGACAAAGGCCACACTTTGGGCCTGGTGCGGTCGCAAGCAGGCCCTTTGGGGAGAGGTCCACATTTGTCCAATACCGGACACTCCCTGCTGCATCAGCAGGGAGGGCCTGGACGTCCGGTAGGGACCCAGTCAGGCCAAGTTTGAGGCCAGGAACAGAGGCACACGCAGGCACACCACCGCGGCCCAGCCCTACAAGTAGCTGGGCCTGACCAGGGCAGACACACAGTTCGAGTAGCTCACTTCTTGGGTGACACGCTGCTGGAGCAGCACGACACAGCGCTGCGCTGTAGAGGTAGAGGTGAGGCGGAGGTCATACCTGCAGCGGCGGTACTTACCTGGGCACCATAGCCGCGCTCCACGCCGGCGACCTGCACAGGGATCATGACGGCAGTCAGTACATGGCTGCAGTTACGTGCAGGTGAGACATCGAGGAGGACGACATCTTCTTCTTCTTCTTTTCGTCTCACCCTCCATCTCTTCTCCCTCCTTCCTCCTCCTTCTTCTTCTTCTTCTTCTTTCAGAGAGAGAGAGAGGGAGGTTACAGGCAGAGGTTACATCGGGCATGAAGCCCAGGGTCTGATTCAACATTTTGTGCCAGACATTAATTGGACATTCGGCAGGGAGACTATTTTTGGACTTCGTGATCGCGATCTTGGTCTTCTCCCTCACTTCCATCTTCGTCTCACCTCTCCCCCATCTCTTCATCTGTGGTATCTCCCCCATGTGCATGTGCAAGGAGGCACCTTTCTTCCATGTATGCGGTCCCTCCTTCTCTCTCGCATGTGTGGTGTGTGATGGGTCGAATTGCGTCAGTGCCTGACAGGTCAGGTCATATCTTTGAGTCTTCCGCTGTGCTACATTGTGATATTTTCATATGTAGCTTGATGTACATTGCTTGTTGATGCTTTGCTGACGCTGCATTGTCCATTCGAGTCCTTTTCATCACTTTGCGGATCCTTGGCTCCATATACATTGCTCAACTGAGCATGTATCACTCTCTCTCATGCAACACCCACACACTGCCCTGTTTTTTTTTTGGGGGGTGGGTGACGCACCACCAGTCCGCACACGGTGCACCGCAGGTATGGTACAAACACATTAGAAAGTCAAACATGCAGGACGGGTGCAAGACAGACTGCAAAAGGGAAACATACGACACCACAAACACCAGACACACCCCACACCGGTCATCAAACTAACCTTGATGTAGTCGACAAACTCTTGAAGAAGTCCTTGACTCTGCTCTGCTACATCATCTTCAACTGTTCCCTCTGTTTCCAAAGCAAATGCTCCTTTCCACTGGGCATACTCTGCCTGCGCTTTCTCTTCTTCAATCCTCCTCTGTTCAGCAAGCTCCTCCTCCTGGCATACGACACGCGTAAAGCAGAGACATGTGCAGAGACAAATTGTGCAGAACACCAGAGTTACATTAACGCATTGTTGCTTGCTCCAGCAGGTCATAATAGAAAGGTCTCACCAGCACGTTATCAGATGCTTGCTACACCAGCTCCTTGCTATGGGCAACCTCAGTCAGGTAAACAGGACTGACTTCATTGCGAGCAGGAAACAGTCTTACAGCTGCAACTGCTACATCGGAGCAATGTTCACAGTAGGTAAGTACTCACCCAACACTCCGCCATGGTATCAATACCCCAACCAGCACTCCATGACACATATACATTAAGATAACCTACTGGTGAGATTTGATGATCAGCAGCTCACAACGCATGGTACTCGACCATCACAACCAATTGTACTGGACCATGCATACCACCACTAACCTTGCGCCTTTCTTCTGCCTCTCGGGCTTCATCCCGCTGCCTTCTTAACTCTGCATTCCTGTCCTCCTTCTCCTTCTTCAGTTCTCTTTGAGCTGCTTCAGCCTGAATAATAGTTCACAAACACCAAACAAAACCAGTGCTCAGAATAGGGGAAGGGGGTGTATATAACTCTCTCTCTCTCTCTCTCTCTCTCTCTCTCTCTCTCTCTCTCTCTCTCTCTCTCTCTCTCTCTCTCTCTCTCTCTCTCTCTCACACACACACACACACACACACACACACACACACACACACACACACACACACACATAACGCGCGCGCGCCAGCACACGCACACACGAACAACTGCACAGGAAATGAGTCTGCTAATTTAGAATCATGTTCAAAATGAAACGCAACCCATCCACGTGTCCCAACTTAGGCGTGCTTCCCTTCATCTCACAATGCTGCTGGTGATCTTTTACGCCCTCCTCTGAGCCAGCATCATGCCACCGGTCCAGCCAGGCATAACACACTATCATCATCATGCCTCTCCACTCACAAGCCGATAAATGCACAGGTGAAGTATTTATGCAGTCTGATCAAAGATCCTCCCTTTCAGATCCACCCTTTCTCAAGTTTCTCTAGATTTGAGTCCAGCAGTACATTTCTCATACCCTTTGCTGTAACCTAGAATGGAAGAAAAAGAATGGCATGAGTAGCCACACTTATGAGGCGCCCATTTCACATACTTTCCCGCAGTGTGCCCATTTCACATACGCTCCTGCATGAATGAAGACTCTTGACATTCTCCGCCGAGGGGACCATGTCATGGCAACCCGACTCTGGCCCAAAACCTATTTTGCCGAACCAAATGGTTTTCCCACCCCTAAAGAACTGAAACTGAAAGTTTAGGGCCTATCAGTTTAAACCAGCGGCACAGTCCAGATGTTTTTCGTTTTCTGCTTTTTGAAAACTTTCCATTAACAGATCTGTACTCAATGCATGTCGGTTTTTTTGTTTCCAGATTTTTTCGTGAAATAGCATAGGCACGAAAATCGCCGAACTTGACACACTCAACTTTTTTTGTGGTCTAAGCATACAACATCGGTCGGCAGATGCTTCCCAGCCAGTGCGTATAACACCGCAGGCCTCCATCAACATCGGGGCCAGTTGCGGTTTAAGCTCTGTGTATATCTGTAGCTTGTAGAAGAAGATGGTTCTGACCTGGGTTCGAAGCTGCCAAAAGTAGTGTATCATCATCATGCTGCGAACCTCTCTGTCAGGTGTGCACTGCAACCAAGAGCCTATGGCCTTGGCGTAGTTGTTTTCTTTTTCCTTCTTTTTTTTGGCCTTGGTGTACTTAAGAGTAGGACTTTTCTGTACACTAGTTCCCAGTCGCAGTGGCTAAGGGCATACTTGCAATAGGACTTCCATGTATGAATTTGACCGCAAATATAACCTGATTCAGTTGACAAGGTTCTAGTGCGAGTATGCTCCAAGTCATCGGGTATGTGCCCAGTTCAGGCCAAACTGAGGAGCGATTTCTAACGGCAACTAGCAGGGGGAGCTTATCAGCCGGACGACTCCGACTCCGACCTACAACTGTAAAATTCTGTGACTGTGTCCATCCACCTTGGAAAGAGCTGATTTCAACGATTAATCATTTCCCAGTTTCTTTCGTTGACCAGTACCAGGGAAATGCACTCAACCTGTCTGTTGGCCTCCCTTTGCTGGCGTCTCGCCCCCTTCTTTGCCGGTGCACGAGGAGCATAGTCGGCACCATCTTCATCATCATCACTGTCTTCATCAGCAGCCGCACCCCTCTGTGGTACCCGCTCCTCCACTGTGCCTGAAGACCAAAAAGAACAATGATAGTGAGTCCACAGAGACAGCATTCACAAAAGAACATCTGTTGTCATGTAATTTACACGCCAAACCCGGACTGAGACACACAGCTGATTTCTGAGTTTCGCTCATAGAATGAATGCCTTGCTGAGTTTCCCGCTTGTTGCTGAGTTCTCTAAGTCTGTGTGTGTGCATGCTTGCTGGTCTGCATGCCTGTCTGAGTGGTTGTCGGCTTGAGTGTGTGTGTGACCCCGAGGACACTTGTTCGTTCAGAGGGCCCAAAGGGCTGGTACTTACCTGTGGCCGTGACATTGAGGGTTGCAGTCGGGAAAACACTCCAGTGGCGGGGAAAGAGGCCCACGACACTCGAAGCACCGGAAAACACTCAAGTAGCAGGTAGGCCAGTACCACACCAGGTAGAGGTAGATGTGCCAGGTACTCCAGGCCGAGCAGAAGAAGACAAAAGTTGGCATTTTTAGAGGCCCAGTAGTTGTAGGCTAGGTCTAGGTAGGTACCATTCCAACCAGTCTGAGTCTAGGGCCTGTACGGGCAATACCAGAGTCTGCAATGATGTTTCCCTCCGAAAGGGAGGAGGTACCAGTTGCTTGGAGGCCGCGCGGCCTAGGAAGTCACTCGCCAAGAGGCAAGCAAGCCGCTATATCTCCAGGAGGAGCAAGGTGCTCCTCCTCATTGTCGGTGTGCAAGTTTGGCGACACACTGGTTGGAGCGCTGGCTGGAGCAGCGCTAGCTTGGAACAGCGCTGCTGGGGAAGGAGCAAGGACACGGAGGAGGAAGAAGACCAGGACTAGGAAGGGGGAGCACCAGAGGTACTTACCTGGCTATGGTGGTTGCCATCTTCATCACCTTGGTGGGCGCTGCAGCAGGAAGGCCCCAGTTGGGGTAGAGCTACACCAAGAAGCTTCGAGGTAGAGTCAGGCATGGCGGCCTGAGCTAGAGCAGCCATAGCTGCTTTGTGTTGTCCTTTGGACAGCAGGCAGCAATGCCCTGGTAGTCCTTCATAGCCTCGACCTTGAACGAAGGAGGAAGAAGGGTGGCCATGGCTATGGTGGACCTCATGTGATACCTGCAGTAGAAGTGGGATTCGGACATTGATTCTGGTTCAGCCATTCAACATTGTTATTATTATTTCTCGTTTGAATAGGAGGGGAAAAGGTAAGGAGGAGGAGAGTGGTTGACAAAGAAGAAGAGCATTATCATTGGTCTATGCTGGTGTACAGCATCATCTTCTTCTTCTTTCTTCTTCGTCTTCTTGTTCTTCTTCTTACCCTCTCTCTCCTCTTAAGTTCATTCATTTCTTTTTGCAATTGGACGGCACTGTACTTTCTGATGAATGTGTACTTCGAAATTAAACAGGATCATAACAGTCATGTACTTGTCATGGCCTCGAAGAGCAGTAAAAAACAACTGCAGAGACTCCTTGATTCGGACAATAGATTAGCGAACATCCAGGCCAGAAACGAAGAATACGGGGCAATGGGATCAAAGCCCCTGTGGAAACAAGGCTTTCAGGCAAGTTGAGGTCCAGAAACGAAGAATACGGGGCAATGGGATCAAAGCCCCTGTGGAAACAAGGCTTTCAGGCAAGTTGAGGGAAGAGAACTCGGAAAATGCATGCAAAAAGACCTTTGTCGAAAGCAAATCCCCACCCAAAACTCCATGCCCCCTCACCTGCTTATTTATGACCACACCTACGTCTTTCCAAATACTGTTGGGCCTCAGTGTAAGCCTAGTTGGAAAATCTCTGTGAACGTCCATGTAAACATTTTCGCTAATCCCAATTCCAAACAAAAGGCCTTGCTATGGCAGAGTTTTGCCAGACCTTTGCTGACCCGTCAGGAGGTGGTTTGTGTGTTGTCATGTTCGCTACACACAGCTCCACAAAAGCAGCATGAGTGCATCAGACTCTTCCATTGAACTTGCATCAGGAGGTTGAACCTCGACAGTCTACCCCTCTCCCCCCAAGGATGCATTTGACTGATGGATAAGGATCCGTCACACGTGTGTGTGGCAGCTGGCGCCGGGGAGTGGAAGGAGACTAGAGAGGCCTGAGAGCTCCCCTGAAAGTCGAAAATGACAACTGTTACGATCCTGGCCAATTTTGAAGTACAAATTTACGAGAAAGCACAATGCCGACGAATTCCAAAATGAAAGAGAGAGAGGGAAAGAAGAAGAAGAGGAAGAAAGAAAGAAAGAAGAAGATGTACACCAGCAAAGGCAAATGATAATTCCCTTCCCCTCGCCAACCAATCCCCCCTCCTTTTCTCCTCCCCTCTTTATTCAAACAATAAATAATGATAATGATGAATGGCCGAACCAGAATCAATGTCCGAATCCCTCTTCTACTGCAGGCACAACATGAGGTCCACCATAGCCGTGGCCACCTTCTCCTTCCTCTTCATGTAGGCCGAGGCTATGGCGGACTACTAGGGCCTTGCCCTGCTGTGCACAAGACAACTCGAAGCAGCTATGCCCGCTGCTGTTCAGGCCGCCATGCCTGACTCTGCCTTGAAGCCTTCTTGGTGCGGCGCAACCCCAACTGAGGCCTTCCAGATGCAGCGCCTAACAAGGTGATGAAGATGGCGCCCACCATAGCCAGGTAGGTACCTCGCCACCTATGTATCCCCCCGACCGCCAATCACCGCGGTCGCAGTCGCGGTCGGTGGTCGTGACCGGGAGGCCCCGGTCATGACCGCAGCCCGCAGTCATGAAAAAAAAAAAAAAACTGAAAAATGTTCAAAAATCTGGAAAAAAAAAGTTATGCCAAAACATAAGCTGAACAACTTTTGCCTCAGGGTCATATCAAAATTCCTTATACCAAATTTGAGATTAAAAAACAAACAAAATCCTTTGTTTTTCTTACTAAAAGAGTAAACTGAAGAACTTTCGCCTGAGGGATTTCTGTTTTCCATTTTTTTTTAATAAAAAAAGAAGCCAAAAAGTAAAACGAAAAATATACAGTTGTAGACCGCATAAAAAACTACAACCATATATTTTTTACCTTTTTTTGCCTATTTTTTTTTTATATAAATTTCAAATTCATGGCCGCGCCCAACCGCTCGGGCCGACTCCCACGGTCGCCATCTCGACCACCAGCCGAGATGGACCCCGCGCTCATGACCGCGGGGGATTCATAGCTCGCCACCCTCCTCCCTAGCCCCCTTCTGCCTCCTACTACCAGTAGAGCTCCACCATAGCCAAGGTTGAAGCTCCCAGTCTCCTTCCTCCTAGCATCGCTGTAATGCCCGGCGCTCCTCCTCCCACCAGCGCTCAGCGCTTGCTCCAGCAGTACGTCGCCCAAACTTGCATATCGCAAATGAGGAGCACTTCACTCCTGGAGACATAGCGGCCTACTTGCCTCTTGGGCGGTGACTTCCAGGCCGCACGGCCTCCAAGCAACCGGTACCTCCTCCCTTTCGGAGGGAAACATCATTGCAGACTCTGATATYGCCCGTACAGGCCCTAGACTCAGACTACTTGGACTGGTACCCACCTAGACCTAGCCTACAACTACTGGGTCTCTAAAAATGCCAACTTTTGTCTTCTTCTGCTAGGCCTAGAGCACCCGACACCTCTACCACTACTTTTGTGTGGTACCACCAGCCTACCTGCTACTCGAGTGTTTTTTCCCCGCTGCTCTAAGCATCGCGGGCCTATTCCCACCACTTGAGTCATTTTCCCGTTGCAACCCTCAATGTCACGGCCACAGGTAGGTACCGGCCCTACGGGGTCTCCCAAGCAAGCAAGTACTCTTGTGGGTCACACACAATTCAGCCCGACAAGCACTCAGGCAGGCACGCAGACCATCAAGCATGCACACACACACAGACTTAGAAAACTCAGCAGAACGCAGGAATCTCAGCAAGGCATCCATTGCAGCGGCAAAACTCAGAAATCAGCACCGTTCTCAGTCTGCGTTTTGGCAGGTCATTACACTACAAAAATCTTCAATGTTGACTGTTGCGAATAATGATCCCGTGGATCAACCAAAGTGTCATCTTTTTTCAAACAAATGACCAAAACCCAACCACTCCATGACCCGTGATTAAACACATGAGCTCTGTGGAATCACCAGAAGCAGAACGACGACATCAATACTTCAAGGCATTGGGTTCCATCCTGCATCCACACAGACTTAGGGAAAGAATCGAACTGGTCACAAAAAGCTGGTGGAAACAAAGGTCGCAAGGGCAGATCATTTCTAACTTTTCTCTCTGCCACAACAGCATGAGCGAGCAGTTCTCAGGTTCCAATCCCCTGATATATTGTCGCATAACTATGAGCTAAAAGAGCGCACTTTTTGAAACAAAGGATAAAAAACAAAACAAGGGTACATTGAAACCATTCAATTTCTCATTCTTCGTTTAACTTCCCCTACACTGTGTCTCTCACGTACAAGGCTCGCCGCGTTGATGAAGTTGAGTGTGAGCTGCGCCCATCCCCGTGCGCCATAACGGCCCACTTGTACACTGTGAGAAAGAGGCAGAGTGAAGGGGGAGGGGATAAACACAGGGAAGAGAGATGGAGAGAAGACAAACAAAGTAAGGGAAAGTACGGAGTGTGGAATGAAGATGAAGGCAAAAGAGGATAAGAAAAGGCTCAAGAATGAGTCTGTCCTTGACGACAGAAGGGCATACAAGTGGATGAACACATGGAACTAGCTGTACTTGGGGTATCTTTCCGTCTAAACACAGCAATATTGACCGTACGTCGTATTCGGGTGAAGAAGGTAGTTCAAAAAGATTGATGACGACACAGTTTCACAGTTCCGCAGTTACTCTGCCCGGGAGTGCTCAAACATTCACGCGACGTGTGCAAAATGCATGTTGGACAGATCAAACAGTTCGCAATTCAAGCGCAAGATCATACACTGGCAACAAGGAAAGGACGAGAAAGGGAGGAGAACGACCAGAAGAGCTGGCAGCTGACGAGCTTGCTCCTGCCCGGTTGGTTCTCCATCGTTGCCGGAGACCACCACCCCTTTCTCCGGTGCGTGTAGGCCTTGCAGCAACATCCACAACCCTGTTCGCCTTCTCGGGATTCTAAGCAAAGGGCAGACAATCAGCACACAGAGTTCATTAGTAATCTAGCACCTTGACTGCTCCACGCCCACTTCGCTCTAGACACAGTTTCACAACTTCAGAAAGTGGTTAATTTACACATTGTAGTATAATTGTACACAGTTTAAGAATTCAACAAGTCAAAATTAACCAAGGCGTAGCCGAAACTTGGCAGCCAGCACACACAGTTGATCAGCACCTTGTCCAATTCCACTCCCACTTTACTCTCGACACAGTCTCACAACTACCACAAGTGATTAACTTACATACTGTACACAGTTAAAAAAATTCAACAAGTCAAAATTAATCACGGCGCAGCGGAAACTAGGCGGCCAGCCTACCAATCACTACAGTAAAAGATATCCCAGAAATTACCAACCCTGGCCCGGGGGGGGGGGGGGGGGGGGGGGGGGGGGGGGCACAGCAATCACCTTTTTTCAGGATGCCTTCCCAATTAGGATATCACAGCACTTACCCTCTTTACAATGACTTCCTGTTTCGGAGACACTGATAGAATGCACAGAATCACTGCCTTTATTTTATCCACTACCGTCTTTCACCCAAATAGAACGCCCAGTCATTATAGCCGCATTTGGGGCAACTTTCAGTCTAGATACAGCGATTATGACCGGGGGCATTCTATTCGGGTGAAGACGGTACGCAGCGCATCCAGATATCCGGGTGGCGCCAGTTTACCTGGATTATTCGGCCGGAAATTCCCGGCCGGATATTTCAGAAAATCAAATTTCCAGGCCCTGCGCAAAATACGTGCACAGCCTGTTTTACTTTTCTGGGGCCATAGGGGGTTGCTATGGGTCGTGAGGGAAGGGCCTGCGAAAAAAAATCTGAGAACCCTTCCCCAACGGCACAGAAAAATGGAAGCAAAAGAGGCCCTATCCGGGCCATAGACCTTTGGCAATCTATGGCCCAGACCGCGCCGAATTCAAATTTGAAATCGGCCCAGCACAGGCGTATATGAGGCACAGGGTGGGAAGAGGAGGAGGTTGGCAGCATCAAGGAAGGGGACAATGAAAGAGGTGAGGAGGAGGAACTTGGCGACGGCCGTAGGGAAGTTGGACACTACGAGAGAGAGAGAGAGAGAGAGAGAGAGAGAGAGAGAGAGAGAGAGAGAGAGTGTGTCGCATGCCTATATGGCAAAGATCAGAACCAAGAACCGACCCCAAGAGCTAGAGCAATGATAGCACAGCAGAAGACTGATATACCACATTCGGACTCAGAATGACTCGGACTAACTGCAACATACTCGTCATCATCAAGCAAGGTGAGTTGGTATGGTGCTGAACACAAAGACAAAGAGCGCCATGCTACACATCATCCACAGATGAGGAAGAGGGGGAAGAGACGGAGGAGAAGGATAGATGAAGATGTCATCAACTCAAACGTCACTCATGAAGTCTCCAAAAATAGTCCCCCCAATGCCTCTGTCCAAATGTCGTCTGAAGCCAATGTCGCCAAGTCCCAACACTCTCTCTCTCTCTCTCTCTCTCTCTCTCTCTCTCTCTCTCTCTCTCTCTCTCTCTCTCTCTCTCTCTCTCTGTGTGTGTGTGTGTGTGTGTNGTGTGTGTGTGTGTGTGTGTGTGTCTGTCTGTCTCTTGGAAGAAGAAGAAGAAGAAGAGGGAGGGAGGAGGAAGAGAAGCGATGAAGCTGGAGGGAGACGAAAAAGAAGAAGAATCCTCTCGTAGTCTCACGGAGGTGGAGCCAGGATACTGACCAGCGTAAAGATGTCTCCTTGGAACTGTGATTGAGGTGGAAGATGCCCGAAGACAAGCAGGAGCTATGGCGCAAGGTAAGTCTGCAGGTACGTCGCCCCCCATAGCCTGGCCTCTGCCTCAACCTCTAGTCCAACTACTCTGCCGCCCATAGCCTGGCCTCCGCCTCAACCTCTAGTCCAACTACTCTGCATACTCCTCTAACCGAAGCCACTAACTCTGCGTGCCACAAATGAGGTTGGCCCAGCTATATATACCGCTGGGCGTACTGCGCTCAAACTGCACAACGGGACAAAATAGGTTGCTGAAATCTGGCGTCCAGTCTCACACTGAAAAACCAGGACTGGCGCCCAGACTGATCTGATAAAGGAACTGACAAACCAGAACTGGCCCCCAAACTGAATCTGATAAAGGAACTGAAAAACTAGACTGGCGCCCAAACTGAATCTCGCCTAAGAAACGGCCACTGGACGTGTATGGTCCCACCATGCTGCCAAATACATGCGGACTAACAGGAGCGTCACGGACCAGACTGAAACAGGGACTGAGGCCGACCAGGGAAAATAATGCTAAGGCCCAGAAAGGAAAGAAGGAACCCCTTAATCTCCTAGCAAACCTCTATCCTACTAGGGCCGTGTGTGGTGCATGCCACAGAGACCGAGAGAGGGGAGCACAACGACAAAGGGAAGGAGGAGGAAGACGACCTTCCAAGGTGCGTCCCCACAGCCCCTGCCCCCCTCTCTCCCTCTTCTTCTTCTTCTTCTTCTTCTTGTTCTTCTTCTTCTTCTTCTTTCTCCTCCTCCTACTCCTCCTTGTCCTCCTCTCCCTCCTCTCGAGGCCGCTATGACAACTATCACAACGCGGTCGTCTTTTTGTAAGTTTTTTTGGTTGTTGCTGTTGTCATCCTCGTCGCCGTCTCCTCCTCCTCCTCCCCCCCTGGCTCCTTTCAAGGCGATGACAACAACAACACCACCGGTTTTTTTTTTTTTGGGTCGTCATCATCGTCGAAGAAGAGCCTTCATGATGACGACAACAACCTCCCGCTCCTCCACCTCCTCCTCTTCTTCCGCCTCCTCTTAATCCTCTTCTTCTCTCTCTTCTTCTTCCTCCTCTCGAGGTGATTACGACGACAACGTTTTTCTTTTATTGGTTTGATCGTTATCGTCATAGTCGCCTTCACGACAACGACTTCCTCCTCCTCCTCCTCCTCATCTTCCTCTTCCTCCTTCTGCTCTTCTTTCGCCTCCTACTCCTCATCCTCTTCTTCCTCCTTGTTCCTCATCCTCATCCTCTGCTTACCCTCTACCTGCCACCCCTCCGCCCCCGCCTTTTTCTTTCCTTTTTCGTTTTTTTTGGTCATGTTTTGGTGAACCAATCAATCAATCAATCAATCAATCAATCTACCAATCAGTCAATCAAGATCGATGGTTCCATCTTGATTGATCCATTGATTGATTGATTGACTTTCTTCCTCCTCCTACTCCGCCTCCCTTCTCCAATCCTCTTGCTCCTTCTGCCGCCCCTTCTCCTCCCCTTCCCGAACCTCTACCTCTCTCTCCTGACCCTCTTCCGAACCTCCTCCTCCCCCCCCCAACCCTCCGCTCCGTCTCCCCATGAGATGACTACGACAACGACGCCGCCGATGACGACGATAGTCGTTGTCGTATTTTTCTTTCTTTCTTTTTCCATCTTCTTCTTCCATCCATCCATCCATCCGTCCGTCCCTCCTTCTCTCCCTCCCTCCCTCCCTTCATCCATCCATCCGTCCATCCATCCATCCATCTCGTCGTCCTCCTCCTTGGCCTCCTCTCTCCGACCCTCGTACTCCCTCTCCCAACCATCTCCCGAGTAAGAGAAAGCTGGGGAAAGTAGTGAGGCGAGGAAATACAGAGAGAGAGAGAGAGAGAACGAAAGGGGGGAAGAGAGAGGAAGCAACACAGAGTCAAAGCGAGAAAGGAAAGGCGGTATTTCACATCGCGCTCCTACAACCTGCGATCGAGTTTGGAGCCGCCGATGGTAGAGCATACTCACCACCCAAGGACTTTCCTGGACGTATCTGACCGCAATTGCGACTGCACCTGGATGCATCTGACCGCAATCACGTGCAGAGATGATTCAGAAAATTCCGTACTGGGAGCATATGCTCCTAGGGTTGCCGCAGCGCGATCTGAATTATCTGGACTCGGAACTCAGGTCTGTACTTCAACAGTTCATGGCTATTCCAACTGCGGCACATTACTCTTTTCTTTTTTTTTTTAAGTAATTGGACCACTTCTCGATTTGTGCGTGTCATCCTTTCGTCGTTCCAGTTTTAACGGATGTCCCGAAGGACCATACTACTCCTTTTGGGATATAACTTAGACGTTCCTGGCCGCAATTTCGGCGTTTTTTTGAACCGAAATCGTCGTCAGGTCTGTTGGCGGGAACCCGGTAAGCCCTCACCATTTCGGATCAAGAAACGCCAAAATTGCGGCCAGCAACGTCGAAGTTAAATGACCAAAGCGGTAAATGATCAAATCAATTCCTAAACTTCAAAAAATACAAAAGGGGAGGAGGGGAGGGGGGGGGAGGGGGAGGATAAAAATCAGTATCTGAATACCATCGGTGGATATTTCCACTTCGGGTTAAGTCGTACAATATCGATGAATTGTACCGCCATTGTATTCTAAAAATTGCCGTACAATATCGATCAATTGTATTCAAAGAAAAGAGAGGGGGGAGAATCAAAATCAGTACAATATCCATCAATTGTATTCCGAACATTAGCCATTAATTCTATTCCAAAAATTATCGTAATTACCATGAGCCTAGCTCGGTTGGTACACCCATTAACTGTTGAAATACAGACCCGTGCTCGAAACCACTAATGGGACTAGAACCAAATCAAATCATTCAAATAAAGGAAAATAAAGGGGGGACGAGGAGAAGAAAGAGGAAGGGGAGGGGGGGGGGGGGGGGGGAGGGGAAGGAAAGGGTAGACAAAAAAAAGAACCGTTATTGACATTGCTATTATCAATGGTAATTAATCAAGGTAATATATCAATCGTAACAAGGTACTAAAAGCGATCAACGCCATGGTAAGCTACTAGCCGGGCCGCCCGGGTCACCTTGTTTGCCCGGGATGCCCGGTCATGGGGATCCAAAAAATCTGGAAAAAAAAATGTTACGCAGAAGAAGAAACTGAACAAGTTTCGCCTCAGGGTCACATCGATTCTTTACCAAATATTTATTTATCTTATTTTTGTTTTTTTCTTGGCCCGGCCGGGCAAGTGGTCCGGGGCCACTCTGGTAAAGCCTAATGATAATTTATAAAATATTGATCGATATGGTTCAGTATGATTGATGGATCTAGATTACCCTGGTAAAGCCTAATGATAATTTATAAAATATTGATCGATATGGTTCAGTATGATTGATGGATCTAGATTACCCCTGATCTAGAAATGAACTGATAGCCCTAGATTACCCTTGATCTAGAATTGATACTTCTTGGGTTACCCTTGACCTAGAATAGGGTAATATTAATCATTGTTAGTCTAGAAATCACAGTAATTGCCCCACCATATGAGGTTCCGGTTTTCAGCAGGTACAGGTCCATACCCATAGAATGGAGCATTTTTAATTAAAGAATCATATTATTAAAAAAAAAGGTTTCCACTCTGCTTAGCCAAGTGGAAACGGAATGATGCTCCCCAGAATGGACTCGGAGCCGCGACCATGAGGAATTATTATTATTTTATTTCAGTAATAAAAAAAACAAAAAAAAGAAAAATTAAATAAAAAATTCTCACACCAATTACGGCCTTCGTTTAGGGTTTTGCTGCAGTAACCAACTTGGAGAGAGGTTTTCTGTTTTTTTTTAGTTTTCTCTAGAGTTCCAGATTTCCGATCAAGGGTCATCTAGAAATTCCGGGCGTGTGACGACGGTACCCAGAATGGAAATGAAGCAGCGATTTTAAGGAGACGTCTTTTAAATTATATATTATATATATCGTCACAAAGATATCAGAGCGCAAAAGCGAAAAAAACAAAAAAAATCAATTCAATGTTTAAAACCTCTTGCGTACAAGGCCGCCCTCATGGATGTAGGTTATCTATATATCGTCAAATAGAATCTATATATATATAAATACATCTGACGATATATACCACGACTTCGCTAGCACCCTGCTACGGTTTTCTCCGGTCAGGTTGAGCGGCAGTGGTCGGGCCCGTCACTACGCGGCCATGGTGTCCTCTAGTGCCAGCGGCGTGTCTGGAGTATATTTCTTGGCTGTGACATACCTTTCTTTGTTTCATAAATGAATGTTCTGCTGGCTTGGGATGGAGTGTGAGCCGACAGTCCGTAGAGTTTTCCATGTGGTATGGTTGAGTGGTATTCTGCTTTGATTTTCGTCACAGGTACCTTGAGGACAGTGGTTGGTGGTCCCCACCACCTCAGAGGGGTATCAGTTGTCGGGCAGTCGTTGATGCTTAATCACAACCGAACGGGTTAAGGTGGATTATCATTTACAGTGTAATCAGTTAGGGGATTCTGCAGACTGTTTTTGAGGGTTCAGCCTCTACTGATTGATGAGTCGGTGACTCTCCGACGAAACAGTTTGTCACAGCCCCCCGTTTGATGTCCTCTTCTCCCCCTCTCTGCCTACGGCAACTCCGTTTTACGATATATAGGCATGATACGTAATATACCCAACAGGGTGCGTAATTAGATAGCAGGTAGCTCAGTTGGGACACGCCCATGAATTGTTGAAAATACAGACCAGCGTTGAAATCCAGATGGGGAACTAGATGAATGAAATAAACTACTGTAATTCGGAATTGCCTGTGGCTGGTCAGATCCACATTTTGATATGTCTTAAAGCCGTCGCACTTTACGAAAAAAAGGAAAAAAAAACGAGTAGAAATTTCGTTTTAACAATCAAATAACACATGTTCCAACAGTGCTTTTTGCCGCTCTGTACAGTTGAAACGAAATTATTATTATACAAAAAAATTATTATTATACAAAAAATAATTCTACATCATTACTTTCAGATCGTGAATTTGGACACACTGCGGGTTCAAGTCCCGTTCCGTTATTCGACTCTTTTGCATCTGAACTCTGGCGAGCCTCAAAAAGTTAAAAACGACAGCAGCAGCAGCAGCAGCAGCATCTTAAACATCATAATGATAGACAGTTGTAAATCGCCATCATAATAAATATTGCCAGTAAACGAAAATGCTATGACTTCTATAAGTTACAAATATATATTGTCACAAGAATATCAGAGCGCAAATGCGAAAAAAAGATCAAGTGTAGTATCTGTTCTGCTCAGTTTAATATCTGATCCGTGGTCCATCGGACCAATAAAAAAAAATAAAAAAAGAAGGGAAAAAAAGAAAGAAAAACAGGAAAAAATAAATTCAGTTTTTTATCTTCTTCCTTGTAACTCCCCCTGTTCAAAACCTCTTTGCGCTTTTTCAGATTCCATCAAAATAAATATTACTAAAAGATTTTTCACTCTAGTAAACAAAAATGCTAGATGATTTTTTAGGTTTTGACACTCAAAAAACGTGTGTCTCGCTGATTCGGACAACAAGCAAACAAGCACACAACAAGGTCACTTCGTTTCGAGCTCCTGAGCTCAAGATCTCTCCTGAAGTCGGGGAAACGTTTTCGGGCTTTTTTCGACAATTATTGTGTGTACTCCTGAAGTCGGGGAAAGAACAAAAAACAAAACGAAACAAAGAAAACAGGTAACAAATAGAAGAACCAGAGAAAGGGAAGGGGGGGGGGGGGGGGGGGAGGAGGAGAAAAACATACGACTCGACACATCCCTCTCTCTCAGATCAATAATATTAGGTTCTTCATCTCAGTCTTCAAACTCGTTTTCACTCAAGTCGTCATAAGCCTTCACTCAATTATTTCACCAATCTTCAATTTTTAGTTTTTCACTCAATTCTTCATGTTCTCTCCTAGGCGCGCAAACAGAACAGTACTGACATTGTGACCGCAAGCCTAGTAACACACTACTAGTAGTAGTAGTAGTAGTAGTAGTAGTAGTAGTAGTAGTAGTAGTAGTAGT